AAAAAAAAAAAAAAAAAAAAAAAAAAAAAAAAAAAAAAAAAAAAAAGAACCCAACGTTAATGGGCCTCATATAGTGCCAAAGGCTCAATGAATGCTGCCATTGGGCTTGCCCGAATGCTTGAGGCGATTTGTTTGCTCGTACGGCAATAGCATATTCATTGCCGCATAGGATATTTTCCACGTGATGCCAAGATGATGCGCGGGCACCTCATCCTAATATATAACTTCTTGGCGAAAGTGCATGTGGATCTCCTACCTCAATAGCGCGAAGCCTGAAAAAAGAAAGTGGGAGAATGATCGAAACTGCTCTGGCCGTTCGATTCTCCGGCGGCGCAAACTTCTGCTACTCCTCCGCTTTGTCGAGTAATTCTCTTTCTCTCTCTCTCTCCACCGCCATTACTTACTTCAGAGGATGAGCTAAACTCTATGTTCTTCATGCTTTTGGGCGAACTCTACGAATGAGAAAGGAGAAACGAGTTTTTTGATTTCTTTACTTGCTTTCTTTCAGAAGCAATGGAGCTTAAGACTCCACAGCTTTTATATTTAGCGTTTGCCCCGCATTTTTCATCGCTGCCAAGCTAACTAGCTAACGCTATTTTTCTTCTATGCTTTTCGAATTGAACGAAAGAGGAAGAGGAAACAATTGTTATTACTGCTTAACTTTAATTCTATTGAAATCAGTGGAGCTGAAGATTCCACAACTTTTCTTTTGGCGTTTTATCCAGCATTTTTCTTTGCTGCCGAGCTGAGTCTATTTTTCTTCAATGTTTTCGGAATTAAGCGAGAGAGGAAGAGGAAACAATTGTTGTTACTGCTTAACTTGAATTCTACTGAAATCAGTGGAGCTGAAGATTCCACAGCGTTTTTTTTGGCGTTTTCTCCCGCGTTTTTCTTTGCTGCCGAGCTGAGTCTATTTTTCTTCAATTTTTTCGGAATTAAACGAGAGAGGAAGAGGAAACAATTGTTATTACTGTTTAACTTGAATTCTATTGAAATCAGTGGAGCTGAAGATTCCACAGCTTTTCTTTTGGCGTTTTCTCCAGCATTTTTCTTTGCTGCCGAGCCGAGTCTATTTTTCTTCCATGTTTTCGCAATTAAGCGAAAGAGGAAGAGGAAACGATTGATTCGACTGCTTAACATGATTTCTATTTGAAACATTGGAGCTCGAGAATTCGACTGCCTTTCTTTTTGGTGTTTTTTATTCTTTTTCGAATTATGCGCAAGTGCAAGAGGAAACAATTTTTTTGGTTGCTTAAATTGATTTCTATAAAAGAAATGGAGCCTACAATTCCACAGTTTTTTTTCTGGATTTTTTTCTGGATTTTTTTCCGATATTTTATTGCTGCCTAGCTGAGACTAATTTTCTTCTTTGTTTTTGGTTGTTTGCATATACAGATCACCGTCCAGCTTGGACTTCGGAGGATGTAACTTGTATAGGCCATGTTAACAGCTCTTGCCGGCTTTTTCAATCTTGCGCTTCCGACGTGCAGTGGTACTTGAGCTTGCTTCTTTCTTTTCCTCCTTTTTTTAACAAAAATAATTTTCTCGATGAGTTTATTGGTAAAATGCGCGTGCGAACTTTTTAGTCCTTATCCTGCCGCCGATGAAATGATTTCAGCTGACCAGAAGTTGTAATGAATTGAAAAAAAATCAGAGTTGAATGCAAGTTTATGATTAGAATGTACTTGAAGTATATATCATATGCTTGCCAAATGCAATGAGAAAGCACTCATAATTCAGACAACGTTTTTTATTATTCTTAGAAGCCACTATAAGATGTGGTCTTCTCATTATGGAGTCGCAGTTGGCATGCATCAGAAGGATTAATTTATAAGCAACTGCGTTGCTTGAAACCTTTCAGAAATGATTGTGTCTGATGGTTACTCGATCTCAGTGGTGCCTTGGCGTGTTATTATATATTTATAATTATTATAACTGACAACCTTGACCAAATGTTTCCTCTGTTCATGAACATCAAATTTGATCAGGTCTATGTATGTACAAGGAAATGGAAGGCCTGGACAAACACCACACTTCAGATTTAGGAATGAACAATTAGAATACTAAAACCTGATAACTAAATTGCAGGAAAAGATGCCAAAGACTCAATAGTAGGTCCCTCTTGGGAAAGAACAATCTTAAAAAGAATGGAATTCAAGCATCAGCAGAGCATTTAGGCTCTGCATCAGATCCAATTAAACAAAATAGGAGATTACAGTATCATCCATCTGAGGAGTTTGTGAAATCAATAACAGAGATTGCTGAGGATGTTAGACCTACCTCTGCAGAAACTACAAGAACAATCATCGAGGTATCAATTTAGACAGTTGCTGTTCTTAATTTCATACTTAATCATGATGTTTAATATGTGTGATGCATCACTAGCAGGAAGGTTGTTTGCATTACTTCTTTATACACCAAACAATGTTACCACTGGTAGGGCGCACATTTGTTTTAATTATATATTCTTTTTCCATCATGTTCTTGAGGACTGAAATGGAGGTCAAAGACTGAAAATCGATCAGCTACACTGATTTAAGATGGCTAATTTTGAAGTTTCTTAATTGGAAGATTATCTTAGAAACAAAAACAGTGGACCCAATTTTTTCAATACCTTTTATCTTTTTACAGGAATGATAACCTTGCTTTTTTTTTTTTTTACAAAAAAAAAAAATTAATTCCTCCCTAGTACAAACAATAGTATTCATTCACGTAATACCGTGGATGCTATGTCTCCAAGTTCTTTGCCAGCTCCCTTCTATTTCTCTTTTCTTCTTTCTTCTTTAGTAAAGGGGAATGCATCTTCATTCAGTCTTTCCTTCCTGACTTCCTAATTACCAAGTTCAATCAGGGAAAGGTGAACGATTGAATGAATTGACTGCTAACTCCTGAATTTCTTCTTCTTTCATTTGATGCATAACTGTAGTCAAGTTTCATTCTTCTTCTTCTTTCCACTGTCTAAGTAAGGGATAGATAGATAATTCATTCCTCTTTCTTCTCTTGCTTTCTTCCTTCAGACTTCTGAGTGGATGCTATGTCTCCAAGTTCTTTGCCAGCTCAATGCTCAATGACTTGGAATGTTGAATTACTAGTCATCCTGGGAAGTTCTAAAATTATACTCCCCGTACTAGGTGTTTTTATTATAAATAAAATAATATAAAAGATAAATACCTTAACTTGTGGATTTGATGATAGAATATGTTGACTTTGATAAAATGATAATTTTAGTGACTTTTTAAAAACAATAATCGCTTTGATTTCACTTTCAGAATTGAGTCTGTAAAATAAGAAACCGAAGGTCTAAACCTACTCTTATACTAGGGGCCATATTTGTACTTCATTTCCAAGTAACGCCTGCTTCTCAGGGTCTCAAAAGAGATTAAATTACGTGTTTGGAGCCTTCTCCTCATGTTCACCCCCTCCCCTCCACCTCAACCACAAAGACACTCCTGCATAGTTATTGTAGATGTAAAGTCTCTATGAATATGTTCTTTCCTGTACGTAGTTATTTTATAGGACGTAATTGTGAAATGTGGGAGACCATACAACTACTGTAGCATATTGCTTCCCTTTGGTCCAAGTCTTACAAATGTTGGATGATTCTCTTTTTCTGTTATCGACTATGTTTGGTGGATGGGATATTAATTTTTTTTTTTTTTTCTTATTATTGCAAAGGTAGGAATAAGAATTTGAACCTCCAACCTCATAGAGAAATGTAAATGGGAGCTATACTTATGTTGGCATATATATATATTAAAACGAGCTGTGTTTGTAATTCTGCATTTTATATAGGTTGATATTTCTTGCAAAATTTGATAATTAATATTTTCAATAGCATTCGTTGTTCAGGTAAATGGAAAAGCAACATTAATGTTTGCGGGTTTGATTAACGATGAAGTTCAGGAAAATATTATCTGGCCAGACCTACCCTATGTAACTGACGAACATGGAAGTATGTCCAGTATTTTAGAGTACAACACTCATATTCATATAGGTCAGCCTTGACTGCTTCCCCGATTATTTTATTGATTATATTATTTTACTCTATTGCAGATATCTATTTTCAAGTGAAGAGCACTGAAGAGA